ACAGTTGTCGCGTCGCACCGCAACAGCTCTACACTGACGCGACAAAGCGACCGTTGCAAATCATATTAACTTTGTGTCAGTACGTCATAAATAGAACAAGGCATCAGTTTAATGTCGGGTTTTGTCGTGTCGCGTCGCATCCAGTGTACACATCACTCACTGATTATAACGGTTCTACTGTATTTTGCCGCTCGCGTCCGGTGTAGACACGGTGTTTAATGTCGTTGGTGAGGAGGAAAGCCTGTGTGTGTCCTATGCCTTAGCGGACAGCATGAAACCCACAAAAAATAAATAAATAACAGCGAGAGAATAGTAATAATAAGTTATTCTCTCTATGCTATTTACAATGTTTCAAGTGATGCATGTGTTTTTTCCCTGTAGGTTTTTTAAATTAAATAAGATTTTTTTATAGGTTTATAGGGGGGCTTGACCAAAAAAGTTTGAGAACCACTGGTCTAAAGTTAACAGACAGTGTTTAGTGCAGTCCACATGTTTACATATGTTTATTACAGTGACTTTGAATTACCTAAAGTAGTGTGCTAAAGCAACAGATTTGTTTTTATATTTCTGCAATCTACTTTAGTTTGTGTGATTTGTTACTGACTTTCATATTAATGTTTACACCAGGCTTATTTGTCAGTGCTTTATGTTGTCATAATGCATCCCAGTTGTGTTCCTCTGCGGCCAGATTAAACCTTGTTGTAGCCTATATATGCTCTATTCATTCTTTTTTAGAAACCTCGCACTTTTCTACTCAATTTTAAACGTTGTAAAAATTTTAAACAAATTAAGCGCGGTCCACTGCTGCACACGTGCCACGATATCGATACAGGGCCAGCTGTATCGATACTCGTATCGTCAAATCTCTGTGACGATACATCGTCGTATCGATATTTTGAACACAGCACTAGTCACTCACACGTGTTTTGCGCATGAGCCGCATGCAGCCCAAAATTAAATGGCTTAATCGACCATCGATAGCTTTAATCGATTGCATCTCTTATCGACAATTAATCAATCATCGATTAATCGTTGACATCCCTAGTATGTATATATATATATATATATAAAATGTGAAACAGTATGCAACACAATGACTGAGTCTGAAATCACAATCTTTTGTACTTTAAAATAAGTTCGTACTTTGACCGTTAAGTTCTATATAGTATGAATGTTATTGTAATGTGACCTACCAGCTTCAGTTGGCAATGCTTCACTGCCATTCATAAATCTCTTTTGGCCTCATGGGATAATAAAGTGCCCATCATATGCACATTTCTGAATTTCTGTGAAAATAGTAGGTCATCTGGGTACTTTTTGCCTACTGTTTTATGAATACTACGAATTTGGACATAATGCTATATTTTAGGGCTGAACGAACTGACTTTCATATTAATGTTTACACCAGGCTTATTTGTCAGTGCTTTATGTTGTAATTATTACATGCTTACAAGGTTGGAAGTTCAACAAATCAGTCAATATACTACTGTGATTGTAGTAGTTAAATAAAAATGTCATTCATATTCATGCATCACCTAATTTCATCGTAACATAGGCCTGGCCTACAGAAAAGAACATTTATGTTTAATCTATCTAATAGTGTGTTGGTCATACTATACAATGATTTATAGCTCATAAAGAGCTTTAAAAAATAATTGCATATTAAATCGCAATCGCAATATTGGTAAATCTAATTGTGATTTTTTTTATTTTCCAAAATCGTTCAGCCCTACTATATTTCACATATTTTCCGCCTACTATGTAGTAAGGAAGTATGCATATTTGGACAATATTACACTACATTTATCAAATGACCTTTATTAAATTGGTGTCGAGTTCTCATCCCATTATTAACTGATTGTTATGCATTGAGTCGTTTTGTATAAAAACATTGCCGTTCTGATCAAATAATGAGCCACAGAGGGAATTGTGGTTGATGCTTCTTCTGTTTCATTCATCACACTTGAAATAGAAGGCCAATTTTAGCACATTGCATTGTGGGATACAGTATCTGACCCAGTGTGCTCTTTATATTAGACATTTTGGCAAGCCAAGTGTTGGTCATTGGGGAATTTTAATGCTTACAGAAACTTTCTTATCTTAGAAATAGTAGATAATGTGCCAACATGCCGTTTCTCCCTATTTTCACACACGTTATTTTTGTCTCTCAATCACTTCTCTTCTTCCTGTCTCACTAAATCCATTTTTTCTTTCTCTTCTGTTGTCTTCAGTCATTTTTCCCCTCTTCATGAAACTTTTTTCAGTTTAACCTCCATTTCTTCTGTCTCTATGTTCAGAGGTGCATCAGATCCACCTGAACACTCAGATTCAGACCAATTCCCAGCTCTATGTGGTAAATGTCCACATTAATGTCAGATTTAATGGATTGAAGAGCGCTAGCCTGCGTGAAACACCACCCACCTGGAAACAAACTCGCTTTCCATTTCCATTTACAAGTTTGTCCAAGATAAATACTTTTTAAAGGGTATCCACTCGCTCTCAACATTTCCATGGCTTAGACAAGAGGCCTTTGAACGCGTTACCCGTAACCATCCTCAGGTTTCCACTGTAATTTGACCATTTTTAGTGTAAATGCAGTGAATTATGAGCTGCTTACTTTAATCTTGATGTGCAATTTAAACTGGTTTTAAATCCTAAATGGCTTATATAGTTAATGAGCCCCGCTGCTAATATCATTGAATTTACTGCAGCTAAAATGGTCCGTGTTGTGATAATTGATGCACTTGCATACCTGTACACTCGTGCACACCTTCGCACGGGACCGTATGCATGTGCACGCTGCTATTCCGAGTCGGGCATCAATCTGAGCTGGAGGAATGTTTGTCAGCTCAGCGATAACACTGAAGAAGTTGCCGTCTCAGGAGACGTTTAAAATGGATTTCTGGGTCACCACAACAAGCCTGGGCCAGACAAGGCTCCTCTGTGGAGGGGAAAAAAGGAAAACATTATTAATAATCTCATTGTGGAATGCATGTTGGAGGAGAGGGTGGAATGAAGGGCTGTGTGTCTGTGTGTTATCCGGCAAATGCTAATATTTATACGTAGTGTATATTTTAAAGCTATGATTGGAATTAGGAATGTGCATACTGCTTACATACTGTATGCACACTAGTATATTTTTCTGTAAGTACTGTACTTGATCAAAAGGTTGCTGGTGTACTTGATTGAACCCTATACTGCATACTATTCATGCTATATGAAGCATCATTTTAGTCTATGAATTTTGCATTTGTTGTTTGTTAATATAAATGACGATACTTTAGGCAATGTGATAGAGTACAGTAGTCAACATTTGAAGTGGATCAAAGAAGTTCATCAAAGTTGTCCTAAGACAAGAACACGGGTATTGTTTTGGTTTTAGGACATCTTTGATGAAAGGATTTGATCCACTTCAAATGTTGACTACTGTAGTAAGTCAAGATGGTGTTAATATGATACAGTAATAAGTCAAGATGTTGTTAATCATGGTTAATATTATGTATCATGATTTAATTACATTGGAAATTGACAGTCTAGCACAGGGGTAGGCAAGTTCGGTCCTAGAGAGCCGCAGTCCTGCAGAGTTCAGCTCCAACCCTGAAAACAAAACTCACCTGCCTATAGCCTTAGTAATCCTGAAGACATTGATTAGCTTGTTCAGGTGTGTTTGTTCATAGTATATTCGCATTTTGACATACAGGACATATAATTTATAGTGTAAACTGTATACAGCTCATTTTGACATTTAGTATGTCAAGTGCATTTCATTATACTATAGTATGTGTAGTACCCATGCAGTGTACTACAATCTGGCACATCTGTGACAGGTGTACTACAAAATCTGGGACATTGTGTATAGTATATGCACATTTTGACATACAAAACATTTGCATACTATGTACAAAATGCATACTGCATGCTACTTAAATGCTGAATGCGTTCTGTCAAAAAATGGCCCATATTAAATGTTTCTTTGTCTTTCTGATGTGCACAGACTTCCAGACGCCTGGGTCAGTGAGAGCGACCGTCCCCAGCTGAAGACCAAAGTGGTCCACCTCTCCCAGCTTCCTCAGGACACGGCGGTTCTGTTGGACCCCAACATCTACAGGTGATCTACATTAGCAGCTCACTCAAACTTTACCCGTAACTTTAAGAGCGAAGGAGCCGTCAACTTCTTCCAAGCGTTCGGGCCACGGGAGCAACTGAAGATGCGTTATGAATTTCTCCAGCAGATGGCGCTGGCGTCACTGCATCCAGAACCCAAACATACGCTCCCAAACTCATGTGGGTGGGAGATCAATAACCTTTGATCCAAGAGAAGACGCAAATTAATCAAAGCTGACGATACAATCGGCCCGGGTCACAGATGCTCTAAACTCACCTTTGACCTTCTCCCACAGACGTACACAGCGATTCCAGGATTGTTTCCCTCGTTAGAGCTGCTATTAATTGATTGTAATACATCATTTCTTTTGTTTATTAGCCTGCAGTAGGAGTTTGTTTACCCAGACTCTCGCACTGGCGTGGAATGTGCTGCATTCTGAGCATGTGGTCAAGGCGAAGGCTTTGTGGGCGGAAGCGCATGTATTCATGCATGTTAATGACAGCATGGATGTCTTCAGCTCCCCACGCGGCGCTAAATAACAGATGCCTGTCATCTTCAGGGCTCTGGCGTGCTCTGATGAGCATCTTTATGCATCGTTTTGCCGTACAGAAATGCAATTGGAAATGACGTGGTTGTGCGTTTATGTGTGTGTGTGCGCGTCATACTAAAGCAGGTTCTGCTTGTTTTCAGGATGTTTTTCTAGGAGACTGGGTGGGGAGGGCGGCTTCTGTCAGCGCCTGCTGACGTACCCAAATCGAAGTGGACGCGCGGATCTTTTGAGACGGGACTTCTTTTCCCTTTGCTTTTTACCCCTCCACTTTCTCCTTTTTTTTCTTTTTAATGCGCCGAGTCTGCCAAAGCATGCAGTGAATTTTTAATGTGTGTTTTTATCCCTTGAAGAGGGAAAAAAAGGCACAAAATTGTGAACCGTGTCGGTGCTGGACTTTTAACTGTCTGGGAGGATGTGTTGTACACCACGGTTTTGATTTTCCTTCTCTACGTCCTCCACTCTGCTGATTATCTTATGCTTTTTTCATGGAGAAAGTGCCCATGTAAATATTCCAGGAGAATTGTAATATATTTTTGTACTGTGGAAATTTTACTGTACTGTAGATAGATGTAATAAGCCACAAGCTGACAGAAAACATAATTGTACAGAATGTGAAAGGTAATAGTTTTGGATGATGTGAATGCTTCCATAGATGTTTTTGCGTGTTTTTCCTTCCTTTTTTTTAGTATGAGATTTTTTTTTCCTTAAAACACGCGCACAGACTCTTATAACTGGTGCTCCACCTACTGATGATGATGATTATGATGATGGGATGTTATCGTCCTCCGTCTGCGCCATTTGTGTGTTCTGCTCAAGCCAAGGAGTGTATAGACATCTCAACGTAATGGTGCTAAAGCTAACACTAGCGTTTAGGCTAATGCACATAGGAGAACTATAGGATCAATAATGATGGTGCTTCTTAGATCATGTACTTAATAATAATCCAGTGTTCCCCGTACTTACAGATCATACTTCTGTCTTTGTAGTAAAGTTGAAATTATATAAAGGTTTTTTTTTTTTTTTTTTGGTTGCTTGCTTGTTTGAGTCTTCAGGTTTGCAGTTTACGCTGATTCTAGCCCATATAAACCTTGTGTTTCTCACACAGGACTTGTTTATTAACAGTGAGGAGGCCAGGGGCATCTGGGAGTCGTTTTATTGGGGCAGATTTGCAAGCGTTGATGCGGAGGCCATCTGCCAGGACCTTTAGCTCCGCGTCAGAGCCCTCCTAATATGACTTGCTGGTTTAGTCGACACCTGACTGTGGGTTTTTGACTTTATTCTCTCATTCTCACATATTGTCGCACTCGGTTTGGGTTTTCAATCATTATAAATTAGCTCGCATCTTCATTCAGGGTTTCTGCAGGTCTTAAAAGTTGTCCTCCCACAAATTAAGGCCTTAAAATATCTATTATTTAAGGTCTTAGATATTTTTGTTTTCCAATATGAATATCTAAACATCCTTGAGTCACGATACATTTAACTGAGATGCAAAATGACATCAGAAGTCTTATTTTTAGAGAAAAAGCACAAAATGAACAGTTTTTGCTTAAAACAACAACAAATATCTGCCAAAAAATAGTTTTTCACTTTTGAGTTAAGTAAATTGTTGTTATAGTCCAATGGCAGATATTTGTTTTTGTTCCAATCATGAATTTAAAATGAATTAAAAGGTAATGTAGGTCTTTTGAAAGTTGTATTTTCAAATCTTGAAATATTGCTAATACTTATTGTGACATTTGGATCAAAGACACGATGTCCCATTTTGGTGCGCACATCAAATATACATACATATATATTTTTTATATACATATAAAGCAATGAAATGCACAAAGTGTCTACTTTAATGCTTTAACTTTTTTTGTGAAAATAAAATGACAAAATAAGGGTGAAATAATGTTCTATCGTCATACAGATTTATTTATTCAGCATAACAGATATATTTATATTTTATTTATAAATGAAACAGCACACTTTTTCTGACCTGTACTTATTAAAATATATAAAAGAAAAGTCATACTACATTTTATGACGTTTTAAATTATTAAAAACTGACAGATGGGTAAAACCTAGAGGTTTGAAAGATCGTGGTAAAAGACTTAAAATGACAATTAATTTTGGGGGGCTGAAATAGTATTGTAATGTCATCTAATGATTATTTTTATAAATATGCCTGAGTGACAAGATTCTTTGGTATATAAACTATCCTTTACGCTAAATGACATTTAAGTGGGTGTCTTCTGTAAATCAAGTCAAAAATGTATGATAGTCATTATTTTTCTTCTCGGAAAAAGTCAAATTAAACAGAACACATTCTATTGTATGCAAAAAAAAAATTAAAGCCGTTTTAAACTTTTGTAGTTTGATGCTTGAAACCCCCTTTTCATCTTTGACCCATTTACATTTAGAGAACATATTGACATACTGTGTTCCCTTCATATTTTCTTTACTTTGTCTTAAGATCTTAAAGTCTTAAATTTACTTTCATTAAACCTGCAGAAACCTTGTTATTAGAGTGGAGTTTATTATAAGAGCTGCAGTGTTTTGTTTCGTGCACAAGCGCATTGGATTCATGCTGCATTTTTTGGTGTTCATGTAACGGTGTCGTTGTAGTCAGCTTTCTCCTTCAATATAATCAAATGTGTAGTTTGTATTTGGGTCTGTGTTTGACTTTCCAAATGAGTTTTTATAGTCTTAACGTACCACTGAGTAACAAGCGTGTCTTAATTGCGAGTAATACACAACAGCTGCGGTCTGTCAGAGAGTGTACAATGGGACCGTTTGTCCTAAAGAAACTATATAATCAGAGCTGCACATGACTCCTGTGCTTTAGTTTATTTATTTATTCTTCAGGAGAAAATACAGCCTGCCCTAAATGTGCTAAACCACCGAGAATAAAGGTGAGATCTTAAATAAATAAAAAAAATAGTGCTAAAGGGGAAATGTGTGTAATGTCTGCACCACTAGTGGTGTAAGTGAATTTCAAAAATAAAGTTTCTAGGGTTTTGCTGTATTAGGCTGTTTATTCATTTTTATTTTTATTTTTGGGTGGATAATTAACCTATTTTTTTTCTTTTCCACCAAGTAGGAAGTAAAAAAAAAGTTTGCTGCTGTTAATAATGACAATTCATTTTCATCAAAGTCCAAAAACGGCAAGTTTCATAAATCATAAAGCCGTGTTGGCCATCTTCTCTTGCAGAATGCTTTTTTTTTATTTAAAGATAGATATTTTAAAGTTTTAAGCTGCTATTTTGGTGTCACACTTTGGTAAAAGTTTAATTTGAAGTACTATAGTTTGTATTCATATTTTGAATTTGTATTTTTTTTAATTTCTCCTGCATATTTCAGAAACGAATCTATATTGAATCAACATATTTACCCCGTTAACAAACACATGCCATGCAGCATGACTTTACTGATTTTTTCCCCCCCCTCTGTTTTCTTTCATTTCTGCTCTATGTACATTTTTAACAACAGCTCCAATCCATAGCCTGCATTCATTCCTCTGCAAAGTGGGCTGTAAATAGGTAAGGTGCTCACCAATGTTTTTAAGTTTAATGTGCTCACATCACAATCTAGTTAACCACTAAAAAGAACATCTGTAGGAACTCAGATTTCCTGAAGGCATGTTTTAACCGCTGATGACTCCGTATGTGATGCTGAATATAAAAGGTGCTTCTAAACAGATAATTTTTTTACCATTAGTTTGTTTGGATTGGACCGTTATAACATTTACAGTTGCTTTGAAATTCTAAATGTTACTGTGATGTTTATTAGATTCAAAGAATACTTGCATTACAGTACATGGCTTAACTGGTGAAGAAAATCATATGCATTCATATTTGTGCAGTTCCGTCAGATTGCACATATAGATGCACATATAGATGTTTTTATTATGGTATGGCTATATTCAGCTCCTGAAGCGTCCGACTGCTTTGTTTTCACGCTGTTATGCCATTAGCGCTAATGCTTTCTCTCCAGGGCCTTTGAAGAGAAGGTAAGCAAGTGACCTAAATCTGTTTGTAGCACAAGCGAGCGCATATTTCACTCCAGCTCTGATTCTGCCGTGCAGTTAAGGGTCCATTTACATCCATTCCCTCACAGCTTTCTCCCCTGACAAACCTCCCGCGTGTTTCTCACGGATGATCCGCTCGTGTGGGCCTTATTGAAGCCTTTGGGAGGGATGAAAAAGAAATATCATATCTAATAACTAATGGAGACAAGAGTGCACTTTTCTCATAGTAGCAGGCGCTCTCTCACTCTCAGATTCCGGCTCTGTTTCAAAATTTGGCGAGCTGCCTTCTCTAGTTTGTCCTACAAAGGATCTACCTTCTAAGGCAACATTCAAAATGAAATAAACCTAACGAGGGACTGATTTGGAACACTAGATGAGCACAGAAATAGTGGTCTTTATATGCTATTTATAAACTATTATAATAGTTTTTATGATTTTATATTTAGCTGCTGTTTTATAATAGTTAATTGTTCTTCTGTGAGTTTTTTTTTTTATTAGTTTCTTTAAATATTTTTATTTTTATTTATTTTTTAAGTCATTTTATTACCTCAACTTATTTTAGGTTATTTGTATATTAGTTTTATTGTAGCTTCATTTCAGTGTGCATAAATAATTTTTTAGTTAATAACACTGTTCCTATTGTGAAGCCAACATTTAGCTTTTCATTTTTAGTCATTTTAGTAGGCCTACTTCCACTTTTTTCAGATAGTTGCCAAGGCAAAAGTTCTGTAACTTTCATTTCTACTAGTTCTTCATCTAATATTTGTTATTAATTATTTACGTTTTTAGTTAATAACACTGCTCCTTTTGTTAAATCAAATGTAAACTTTATTTTTCAGTTTCAATAATTTTTGTACTTAGACTTGAGTTAGTTGCCAAGGCAACATTTTTAAATTATTAAAGTTTTTCATCTAATGTTTGTGTGTTTTATTTTAGGGTTAATTTTTTTTACTTTTTTAAATTATTATTTATGTATATTTTACATTTATTCACATTTTAGTTTAAGTAATTTTAGTTTTATTTTATATTTAATTTTGTTTAAGTTTATATTTAGCATTTATATCAGTTTTAATTTTAGTGCTTAAGATTTTTTGCAGTTAGTTGCTTGGCAGCATTTCAATAACTATTTTAATCTAATAT